TCCTCGTGGGTTCTAAAACGACTGTTCATATTCTCACATCGCGTAGAGAAATCTATAGCCAGTGGTTGTCAACATTTTAAGCATAATAAAATGTGACCCGATTTCGATGAAAATGATTCACTTATGTAAAAGTACATATGACGTTTTGTGAAACATCTTTACGTGATGGAGAAAAATGGATATCATTTGCGGATTCAGCGTGTAGGAATTACTGTAAAACACGTAAAAATTTCAAGACAATAAAACCATCGCAGGCCTGTGTTATCAGCAACCTGGACATTATTTGAGAAGCTAACCAAAAGGTTCGCTTGTTTTAAATTAATAAATTTATTGCATATGATCTTCTAACTGCTGTGTGGAAGTTAAAGTTACCTAGTTTCTACTTGTATGTACTTGATTAATACAACAACAAAAAATATCCTGTCAATATTTTATAATATAAAAGGGCACTACGATCTGTTATTTATTTGATCTTCTCATTCTTTTAGTGTGTACGAGTTAAAGGTTCTGAAGAAATAACGGTCAAAACATTAGTCCATTAAGCTACTCCCTGAAAAAAAAAGTTTCTTAAATATGTGTTTTCTTTGGAATATATACATGAAATAATTTTCCTACCAGTAGAAAACTACCAATCCTTATTTAGACAAAATAACTAAACGGGTTCTTTCGCCCAACGACGGTTTCTTTCATTTCTTTTCTTGTTTACTTAAAATACAAATATATAGCCCACCGTCTTGTTTATCATTATTCATCTAACTGGCCTTAATATAAAAAAACAAGTAATTGTACTTAAAGTTCATAATGTATTCATAACAGATATGAAACACTATTATAATTTTAAATACGTTTAAGTGTTAGACTTTTCTTAATAGAGTAAAAATATTTCTAATATTTATATAATTTACTTATAATACATTAAGTTGATATTTATGAAATTAATGAGCTGTCATCAGTCGCATAAAACATTTCTATAAGGCGATTTTTCTTTTTAAGCGGTTTAAGTGAAGATTTTGAAGTTTCCTGCTTTGATGCGTATAAAATGTTAGCTTGCAATTTTATCAGGACATATCAATACCACAAATAATTATAAAAAGTAACGCTATTCAAATTTATAGAATCCTTAACTTCTAGTGTTTTTATGTTGTTGTTACGTGAAAGATACTAGCGGAACTTAACATTAATAATACCACAACCTAAAGTAAACAATAGTAGTATGGTGTGAAAAGTGGTGAATTGGAATACCTCTGTACGTTACTGTGTTTCGCAAGTTTACAAAGTATGATAATTACAGATTTGGTTGCATATTAATATAGTGTAAGCCCAATGAAAATCAGAAGTGTTGAATTCAGTATATAATTAAAAACCTCTATGAATCAACTTACACCTTATTTGAAAGCTATATCTCGATTCTTAAAACTATGATAATTGCTGTACTATTTTAAATAGGTTCTTCGTTTTATTTCATCTTTTACTTCTATCAGTAACTAGTGGCATATCAAGTCAGTATGAATACTGACATTCTTCACTACGTCATAAACTTTAAATGAAATACAGACAAAATACTTTAGGTATTATTTTTTCATCAACCAATCACATGTCATGAAATATAAAATATTAAAGTTATAAGAAATTTATTGTCTTTACGTAAGTAATACAAGTTACATCTCTTGACGATGATATTTTTTTGTGTATAATATATACATTTCTTGCAATTCTTGTCTGATAAAAATATTATTATTGTTTTTCTTTATTATTAAATAAAAAACCGTGTTTTTGCAAGAGGTCCATTTTCTTTAATGTTTGTTATTATTATTACTAATATGAAATGTGAACAATGTCATTATTGAACTTTTATTCTCATAGGACTTATCTAAGATACTAAATTTGTTTATTTGTTTAATTTTAGGCAAAGCTAGCCGGGGTTATCTGCGTTAGCTCTCCCTAATTTTGAAACGATAGCCTAGAGGAAAGGCAATTAGTCAATACCACCCATTGCCAACTCTCAAGCTATTCTCCTACGAGCGAATTATGAGATTGACCGTCACATTATAACGCCTCCATGGCTGAAATTACGAGCATGTTTGATGACAGGATTCGATCCCGTGACTCACAGATTGTAAGTCGAGTGCCCTAACCCCTAGCTCATGCCAGGACCGAAATACTGGTTTCTATTTTGGTGTACGTAATACTTCTCTCTATAACTAGTGACATACTGAGTGTTGACATTCTTCAGTATGTCAAAAACTTCAAGCGAAATTTAATATTTGAAAAAAAATTCTTATAAAACATCCACTTATGATTTGCACTATTAAAGGCTTAAGATGGGTGCAATCGACAAACTAATGAAAGTCGTACTATCGTGTTATTTTAAATTTCGAAACAGATGTAAAATGGATGCTTAGAATGTTAGAAGTTTAGATTCGAATATTTAAGGTATTATATTTTCGTCAACCTATCCCTTACCATGAAATATACAATAATAAACTTATAAGAAATGTATTGTATTTATGTAAGAAACAGGAGTTCCACCTCTTGACGATCGTACATTTTTTAGCAATACAAGAATTTCTTGCAATTGTTATTTCGTTGAAAACATTATCATTGTTTTTATTTTATTATTGTTGAACCATAAACAGTTTTTTGTAAGGGACCCATTCTCTCAAGCAATTGGTTATTTTATGGCTTCAACGTGCATCTGTAATGTTTGACATTATTTTTATTAATGTGTTAGAATAAAACTTTTTCCACTGTTAAATAGGTTTTACATTTCTTCTTTTTTCATATGTTTGTGCCAAACTTGTATGGCACTGACAAACTTCAAGTCCAAAGCAAATTTATGTTTTTGAAATAGTTGATAAGTTATGTGTTTAAAGATTTTGTAATTGTGATTAATGTGTTTTATCTATTACAAATCCCAACCTCTTTTCGAGAACGCCTCCCGTCAGTGGCTCAGCGGTAAGTCATCAGGCTTATGAGGCTAAAAAATTGGGTTTCGAAACCCGTTGTGGGCAGAGCACAGAGAGGCCATTGTTTAGCTTTGTATTTAGAAACAACAACACATTTTCGAGAATGAAATATTTTCAGGTTTTTAACCATAGCCATATTTAAAATGACAATACCAATCACGTTGTAATAAAACAGAAGTACACTAATAAAAAACCCATAAATATCTGAATATATACTATTATCCCTCAAAAGTAGCTGAATATTTTTTGTGTAAGTAGTTTCATGTCTACCGAAGTAGTAAAATAAAATCGAATCGACAAGTGTTGGATTTGCGGCTCTTTCATTGTCATTTTGTAGACCTCAACGTACACAAAGTTTTGATTTTTTAACAGGATATGAGAAGAATCTAAATATATGTGTTAAGGTCACGGTGATAAGAAATGTAGAACGCTTAAACAAAAAATTTGTTCCAGTTTTCAGGATTAAAATAGAGCATAAATAATCATTTTCTTTGACCTAGATCTCTGTTTAGCTTCTACTGCATGCATATGAACCAGGTTAAAGATGATGAAAAGATTATTTATACAAACATATTCAAACTAAATCTTTAACAATGAAGAATCTACTTTAAAAGAAGAAAAATCAATACCACCAAACCATCGATAATTATAACATTTGAAAAATTGGTAGCTTTTAACTATTTAATGAAAAACACTGTATATCGCATTACTTCAGAGTAAATATATAAAATAATTAAATCTAAATTTATAATACTTCAAAAACTTTATATAAGCAGTCATATTCCAATGAGAAAATGCAGGGTTTCTAAAGATCTAAAAATCTCATGTTCAATTCACAGCTGTAGAGAGAGCGCAGATAACTCATTATGTATTTTTGCGCTAAAAAAAACAACAATTTAAAATCCTTATAAATGTTTCCGAAAGTACTCTCTTGTATGTATGTAATTTTACCAAGATGGTGGAAGCATATTTTTTAATTTTAATTATTAATTACTTACCTTTATCATGTATTAGCAAAGTTTACTGGTTGAAATTATGAAACATTCACACATATAAGTTTAGAACACTCTATTTACTTTGAAAACATACTGATCATGTAACGTTTCAGGTGATTGGTTGAATAATAGAAATGATGTATCGAGCTTTCATACGAGTGCATTCATCGGCACTCGTCTAGCGGCTATTTCAGCAATTTTACTTAATTATCAGTATCGCTGGATCACAAAATAATGGATTATTATTGGGATGAAGTAGAATATCGCATTCGCTAATGTAATATTCTATAAATAGTTGTCATCCAATTGTAAATCATATGCCTCAGCAAATGGAATACAATTGAACAAAATCACCTTGCAGCAATATCTTTAGATCTGTAAGGTGCCTACAATATAGTCTAACTGCCCATTTTTGCTGACAAAATGCCCAGAATAGACGTCAGTGTAACATGTGTAAGATGGGCTATAACTGCATTAACTACCAGAAAGTGCATCTTAAAGCATGAAAACTGGCAATTGGAATGTTTCACCATAAATTCTGGATTGTCTAAAGGATCACTAATATTCAACATTTATACAATGCATTTAGTCTGCTCTAACAGTCCGACCACCTTCCGTGTGCCAATCTTTGCTGACGACATTCTAGATTACAACAGAGGTTCTAGCAAAACTGGCACTTAGAGAAAGATGCAACTATCTTTCAGCAGAGCAGAAAATTGGTGCAATGACGTGGATATGGCTATCAATCCTGCCAAACATGCAGTCATCTTTTTTCAGATAGTGTGCTGATGAAGACATACTAACACTATCCTTCGTGGACACTATTATCCGTTTTGAAGAAAAACTTAGTAATCTTTGAAACATAACTCAACTTCAGTAACCACATTAATAACATGATAATCATAACTATCAAAGGTATCAATGCATTGTAAGTTAAAGCGAGGAATAGAGCTGAATAACATCACTTACTTATGCTAATGCCAAGGTTTTATCCACTCCATTCTTGACTATACATTATAGATGATAAGTATGAGCACTAAGCAGCTAGAAGAGATTGAAAAAAACTCTCATGTGACAGGCTATTGGATGCACTTCAGTCACCCCTTTAGAGTAGTATTACACTTCACCAGCCTCAGTTACACTGAAGAGCACCAACAGTGCCTAAAAGCAAACTTCTTCACTAAGAACTTGCAGTAGAAAGACCATGCATTCCATCTTTGAGCCATCATCCTTTTCATTTTAGAAATTCCAGCTCCACAACAGCCTACAGACGTTAACTAAAAAAGGGGATTGCTCAGAAAGGTGATTTAGGGATATTCATTGGTAAGCAGGTGATATGCAACCTATATTGAAATAATTTATCACCACCATGTTTCAGATTTCTCTATGTGAAATAAATATCTGACACCATTGGGATTTGTGGAAATAAGCCGAGACAAAAATTCGCAGATTGAGCACGTGGGGACTGTTATGGTTTCTTCATCACTAGATAGCTGGAGATGTGGTTGGGCGTTCACTGATTCGCAGTAAAACAACGTTCTGCATAAGACACGTGAAACATTCAAGCTTTCCAAAAGCAGCACACTCTCCCATGAATTGCTAAAAGCAATGAACCACATATAGATATTGCCAGCAACATAATGGTTGTGACTGACTCGCAAGTATTACTCCATAAAATTCAGAATGTTTGATCCCCAAATGGATGGCAGAAAACAACTCAACTGCATGGTAAAAGTATCAACTGGATATATGTGCCAGATCATACAAGGGTAAAGCTAAATGAGGTAGCTTATGAAATCTGGAACAACTTTACTGACAGAATATCGACCTCCTCTGCACCAGTAAGGCAAACAAAAAACAGCTATAGACGATTTTAATCGATTTTCAGAAGGAATGAGACTGCTGGAAAAGAAAGTATCATTTAATGTAACTAGGAAAAACAAAATATGAAGAATCGGTAAAACAATGTGTAACCAAAATGCTACCAGTAAAATATCTAAATAAGCTCTCTTCTACTTTCTGCAAGGCAGCCAAACTCCACATGAAGGTTAAGAGCCTGTTGGTACAATTATTACTCAACTCAACTCCAGCATGTTGTGGAGTCTATGTCGCTCGTGATTAAATGTGGGACATCCCTATATTAGGTAGGAATATTAATACAGGGGCCAGTCAGTGTACATATAAAGATATACTGGTTCTCTTGAAAACTTTATTATACTTCTCTCAATAAATTTCCAATACACCGAGTGTTTTATAACGGTTATATCGACATCACTTATTCAGAACATCGGAAGTTTGAGCTATGGCTAATAAACTGTATAGCCTGTGGTGAAATCGAGGATCATTAGCATAGCACCACTATACATTTGTACTGTGCAAAGGAAGAGAAATTGTTAGAGCATCAGTCATGCGTACATACGAATATATATATATATATAAGTGAAATCAATGAAGGTTGTTGTATTCTATTGTTTGCAAACAGTAAGCAGTTATATAGACTTGGAAAGAAACTACATTTGTCTAAAGAATAAAACTGCTGTTTATGTCACTTTATTGATAACATAGGGTGGAAAGTAAGGTAAGACCTCCCTCGGTAAAACTGCCACCTTTGTATATATATATATTCATCTGTTATGACGTACTGCCATCTCGATTGAATTATATATAACTGTTGTTCATGTGATTTCATGCATAAACACACTGGTAGATGGAAGCCTATGCGAACGATCAAAGAATGATTTTTTTTAACTATCTTTGATCTAGGATAAGCTCTTTGACTTTTTTTATGATAACAAAGTAAATATTTCAGGAAATAAGGAGGAACTATAGACAAGTTTAAATAGGCCCTAAGAGAAAAACAGCACTAGCTCACCGATTTAACATAAGTACAACTTTTTCACGATGAGTAGTTTAAGGTAATACAGTCCCTAGCAGGGGCGTCTTACCCCACATTAGTGACGTGTATTCCTTCATATACTTTGGACACATTGTACGTTATCGCTTCACACTAGTACCCACGTTGTTTTGCTCATGATTTTCCCGATCCATACAGGAAGCGTTTGAATAATAACTTAAATCCTGTTTCTAAATCCGAAATTAATTTTAAAAGGAGCATAATGCTTTAATTAAAGTTTAGTAGAGGAAGGTAGTGTAAGACGGCCATCTTAGCTTTGAATGCGGGTTTTACCAATAAATATGAAAATAAAAGGCTTTGAAATGGACTCCTCTCGATTATA